TGTTTGCGAGAGCAGAGTGCAGCGATATTTTGATAGCGAAATAGTCGAAAAATATCTGGACGATTTGAGACCGCGTCTAATTTTTTTTTTGTTGTTTAAAAAACCCTTTTATTTCCATCTTTTATAGGTATGAAACCAGAGCTGGTGAATCAATTTTTTTATAGTGTATTTGGCTTCACTCGCTAACAATAAGTAAATTTATTTTTCTGTTTAACCACAAGTAACATCCATTTGTCGAATCTGGAACTAAATTTATGATATTAAAAACAAAAACCTTCAAATTCTAATGATAGCTTAGACAAATAACATATGTAATTATTTTTTTTATTTTATAATTAAATTTATTTGTAAAAAATCTAAGACAACATTATATCGTGTTTAACTATTTTGTACCAACTTGTGAAAACAAACCTAAAGTATTGTTGATTATATTCCAAAAAGAAAATTTTCCATAAATAAATATTTCTGAAGTGTAAATCTTTTTAAGGCACTACTTTATCCCTCTCTTTCAAATGTTTTGAACAAGAAATCCCATTAGGTAAAGGTTCCATTGCCGAAAGACCGTTATGATCGGATAACTATTTCCGGACATCGAGCCTTTTGTGACACTTCAACTCAACCAAGACATTATAGTTAGGATTACATTGATATAATAACAATTTGCAATGGCGTGGAATATTGTATCTAGTACTACCGATTTTATAGTCCTTTTTTTATAGTGGAGGGAATACCTGAGTCATCAACGACGGCCATGGACATCTTCGATATGACAAGAATTAATGAAATGACTTTAGTAAGTAACATAGGCTATACTTTTTAATTTCACGCGGAAGAAGTCGTGAACAACAGCAAGTATTTAATTGCTAAAATTTTAATTGCCATAGTTTGGATGGATATATGGATGGTTGTTTCTTATTACGTATCTCTAATACAGTTTACAAATATAGGTTAAATTTGGCACAAATGTACAACATAATCTGTATTAAAATATGATGGTTCTGTTAAAATTGTGATTCCGGTATTTCAATTCTTCTATGTTATTGTGTTAAAATACAGTCAGTCTCAACTTCGCTGTGTAATTTTAAATCAGTGCTAAGAGCGCGTAATTTGGCGCCAAGCCAGCTGCCACTGGCGAAACTGCGGCCAGAGCATTCGTCACTTCGTGTTAAATTGATCGCTATTGTCGTAAACATTCTGTTTTCTTAATAGACTGTAATTTTTACACCAGAGTTGTATTCCAAAGAATATCTATACTATTATAATAAAGCGTAAACACACACTTATTTGTTGCCTAAGATATCAGCAATTACAGCATATTTTTGAATATTTTCTTTTTAATAAAATGCCCTACACTTACCTTATGCTTTAGGCTCTATATTTCACGCTATAAAACGTGGGGGATAAGTATTTTGGATAAAAACCATAATGTAGGAAAGAGACCATAAGTTGCTGATAACATTAAGGAAACAAGATTGCCAAGGTTTGTCATGTCATGTCAGTTTGCCATTTGATATTGATATTATGACGAATTTAAACAATGAAATAAAATTTTCAAAATTTTATGCGGATGAAGCCGCACGGGAACACCTAGTTAAGAACATCTGCCCAATACGATACTTAGATCAATGTAAACATAGTCAATAAGAACAAATCTTCGGTTGATGGGTGACCAAATTATATGTTAATATTGATCTTTGATAAAATGTACATCAATGCTTTTTTTGGCCGACAATTTGCCCGCCATTCGACCTCTGTGTATCGTTTATTAATCTTTGTTTAGTGTAAAAACAAAAACTTTCGTTTGAAGTAAAAAAAAATTGACACTTTTATTCTTTGGCATTGATTTAATTTTAGAAATTCTACACTAAGGGGCTCATTAAATTGCTGTTATTAGAGTAGCTATGAGTCTTATTTTTAGGATTTACTAATGTTATCAAATAAATCCTTACTCGTAACGTAAGGAAATAAACCAAGATTACAATAACAATCTTTCATATTTTAATTTATTATTCGCTGGCAGTCTGTGTAATAAATAGTACAAGCTAACGTACCACGCTAATAAATATATATGAGGTATAAGGCCTCAGGAAGGCAGTGGATAAACATTGTACGTCACGTCTTATATTGTTATTTACTGCCACGTATTACTTTGCTTCTTTCATATAAGCGGACAGCTCTGGATAGTGCCTTCACGGCTTTAAAATAAAATAAAATCGGACACTAACATGTCACTTTATATTAGTTACAAAATATGAAACGTTTGTATAATTAATGTAAGAAATAATTAAAACTTTGTCTTTTATTAGTAACAAATTGGTTGCATATTGACTAGCGTTATTGTAAAATAAATATGTAAATAATAAGGTTTTAAATTTAATGCGATACGATAAAAATCAAATAGAAAAGAAGCAAGAGAGAATTTACTGTACTAGTAAAATTAATATTCAAACTAATTTTTTAAGTAAGCTAATTTATAAAATTGTAAATTTTTGTTTAGGTATCACTCTCAAATACGGAAAATAACTAAATTCGTTTTTAATTTAAACGAAACGCGGTTTAAAAATTAAAAAACCAACATTTAAGTTACTTAGAAAAGGTTTACCCTTTAATTATATTTTTAACGAAAAAAAACACTAACACTCCAATACAACTTTATTAAAATTTTGGTAAAAATTTTTCTTTTCTAACTTTTTGTGTAGGTACTTATTCCGTGAAAGCAACTTGCCGAGAGAAAATATAAGAGATATAAAAGGCGCAACCAACAAAAACCCATCGCATAACCTTAGTTTAATTAAAGCGAGAAAGCGACCGGCTTTTCACTGCGTACTAAATAATAACTTAGAGAAAATTAAATTGCAGAAGCCAATTTTTATACAGGGTTTGCTTTTATGTTTTGAGTTGTGGATACTTTAAGTCTGTCTAACGAGTGCTCGTTAGAAGACTCTAGGTCGAATATAGTACCCTAGAGCGGATTTGAATTTTAAATGTAAGATGAATACATATGTTCACCTTTAATTACAAAATATTATCTACACTATTTTATAATAAAGCGTAAACACACACATTTTTGTTGCCTAGGATGTCAGCAATTACACCATATTTTTGAATAATTCTTTTTTGAATAAAAATCCCTACACTAATGTCACGCTTTAGGCTATATATTTTAACGCCATTAAACTTAGGGGGTATATATTTTGGATAAAAACCCTAATGTGAAAAAGAGACCATAAGTTGCTGCCAACATCAAGAAACAAGATTGCCGAGTTTTGTAATGTCATGTCATTTTGACTTTTGCTATTGATATTTTGTCAAATGTTAACAATAAAATAAAATTTTCATAATTCAATGCGAATGAAGCCGCACGAGAACAGCTAGTATATCTCAAATCAACAAAGCGATTAACCACTCTGAATCATGAACATTTTCTGACTGAACAAAATTTGTGAAATTTGTGCGTTTAAAAAAAATTGCATCCTTTTAATTATTTTCCAGTATCTTATCGATCATATATAAAATGTACGTGTTGAGGCGATAAAATTATTTATAGCAATAAGAATGATTTCTAAATAGTTTAGATGAAACTAAGATTATAATATTTATGAGTCAACCCACGTCTCAGTAGGGCATTCATTATAAGAGCGTATTAGAGCGTAGCCCGCAACGAGACTTCACTCGACATTTGCGGACTTTACATACCTTTGATCATTATTATCTTGGAAATGCGGTCTCCTTACTGCGTACCTTACCGTCATTACTATAATTTATAATAATCTATTCGTATATTTCTACTTCAGTTATTACTGCGCAATATATCAAATTAAACAATGTCCTGTAGCTAATGTATTACATGAATACATATTTTATCCATTTTTAAAATCAAATTTTAAATAATGAACTTAAAGTATTGTTGATAAAACTTCTCATTTAAAAGTCTTTGGTGCAAGTAATATCAATATGGTAGGAATAAAAACACTTTTATTAAAAGTATTCATTCTATTAAATAAAATAAAAAACCGACTTCCGAACAAAATACACCAAAAACAAAACATTCTTAAAAAAAACAATGCACTAACAAGTAACGAAATAATTCTTTGAAAATAATAAACCTCCCTTATTGTAGGTGTTATGTCTATATTGTACAATTATTATTACTTTAATGTGGGTGTCAGCCGAGGTAAGCAGTGATATTTCTACGTAAGGCTTTCAACATTTTTACCATAACAATTGAAAATTGAAAGTATAGTAACGTTTAATTAATGAATCTACATTAACAACTTCATTTGGGAAATCGGTCCAAAAACGACATTGCGTGTATATTAAGTACATTAAGTACATCAAGTATTAACAACATTAAGTATATGGTTCTCGTAAAAATGTAATAAATCAAATTTCCGTAAATGTATCGCTATATACAAACGTTGCTTTTTGCTTCCAATTTTATTGGAATATTTGGAATAGCTCTCTCAATGTGGCCGGTCAGTTGACGCCGAAATATGTGCTCCGACGTAGAGTTGTTGCTTTGTGTACGCACATACATCATGTTGCAATATGCCTACATTTGAATACCAAACATATTTAACAAGCATTCGTTATTCTTCTTGCCTTAGTGAAAATAAAGAAAAAATACAATCCTATACTAAATTGTTGATATAAGGTAAATAAGCATTTTCGAAATTGTTAATAATTAAAATTGTCAATTCGTTTAGTTTGTTACTTTTTTAATCACTACATCGAATAGTGACCAGCAAAATCGTAATACATCGTTTCATATTACTATTTTTTTCTTTTATTAGACACGCGGCATTATCCGAATCTTCGTATTTTAATTCTTGATCAAAATTTGAAACTAGGAAATAACTTCTTTATTTGCAAAATCTACTGTATAGAAATGTATGACTAAACTAAATTAAAAGTACTCTAAAACCGCATTTATGAACATCAAGAACTTCTTCAAATACTTTAAAAAACCTTTATCAAACAAATATTTTATTTCTACTTACCATATAACAAAACAACAAAATCAAGTCTATTGAATTCCTACGTTTACTTCACTAAAACACGCCAAAACTTCACAATAACATTTCGTAAACCGGACTGGTAAACTTCATATTGAATGTGATACGCTCGGAACCTCTACGAATCGTAGAGCTACGCCACACGTGCGGCTCTCATAGACGCGTCCATACACTGAAGTACAACCGCTACGAACGAATTGACCGAAACCCGCCGAGTTTTACCGAAATCTCCCGAGATCTAAGCCGTGATTGATGTCAAATGAAATATGAAGAGTAGTTACAGGAATCCTTTTTTTTTCGTATTGTTTCTAGGATTAAGCTAAAAGCTTATGTAAAAAAACCTTTGTTCTTAATAAATATTTGTTATCTCTATAAAGCTGCTTCATCTACTTATTTTTTAAACTTTGTGTCTATTATTGGAGGTTCTTGTATAATATCCATAAAGGTAAAAATGAAAACATTTTCCCTAAAGCCTTCATTTCATACTTCTTACTAAGATTATAAATGCGAATGTTTAGATGGGATTTTGTTAGACTTTGTAGCCAGCTGAACAGATCTCGATGAACTTTGACATAAATGGTAACTAACCTTGATTTTTTTTAATCCACGCACGGAGTCGCGTACGAGAGCTAGTGTTTTATAAAATATGCTATTGTTACGATAAACTAATACTGTCATCTAAAAATGGTAGGTTTATTTGATTTCATTCATTAAGCTCCGTCATTACGTCGGGCAACGGATCGGTAAAGGGCTTTCATGTCATTTGTGTTCATTAGATAGTGTCCAATAATGGAAATGGCTATGGGGTATCGGAATTGCTGCCGAAACGGCTCGGTTCTATTGCATAACGTGTATGGCAAATTTAATTTCATATGTAGTTTTATTTTATATATTACTAATAGTAAAATTATTATTATTTTTTTTTTAATTACAGTAAATTTATTAATCAACAAATTAATTACTTTTTGTTTACTAAAGATAATGATTTATCTACTTTTGGAAGTGAATTTATTCAATTAACTAACGCTTGCAAGTACTAGATAAAAAAAAATTGTCGAAAGACTGAGGTCGGTAACATTATGGCAATTTTTTTCTCTCGTAGTACATTTATCACATGTTTTATATATTTTTACATTTTATAACACTAGGTAAATGAACACGTAAGTACTCCAGATAAAACTAATAAAAGGATTTATTTCGATTGGACATAATGCTGAAGAGCACCTAACGACATAAACCTGAATCGGGGACGACGGATAATGTCCAAGTCTCTGCACATCTAACAATTATGGCCACGGAATACGGCGCGCCGCAATCGTACAGACATTTTATTGCATTCAATTTTATTTTATAGTATTTTTATTCTTGTATCGATTTAACGAATAGATCAAATAAATCGACTACATCAGTTCAAGCGTTAAGGTTCCTAGAATAGTTGACTACTTACGAGTATTTATAGAAATTTACAGAACATTGAATTCTATGCATGCCGTACCTCTAACAACTAGTCGTTAGCAGTCGCTCTTAGCAGCCTTACAAATAAACTTAGTAATAAACTGAGTATAAGCAAAATTTGTACTAATATTTGCTTATAGTCAGTTTAACTTTATACCGCGTTTATTTGTATGGCTGTTAGTCTTTTTATTCAATTCAAAGCAGTTGTTATCAATTACTAAAACTAACTTCTTTCAACTACAACATATAACGTGCTATAGACCTACACGTAGATATTCATATTTGAAAAAGCTCTATATGGAGATTTAATATGAATCCTTGTAACAGACATCACAGACAGAAAATAAATATATTATGAGTTATACGTAAAATTATTTTGTAGACGAATATTCTCACATAACAAACAGTTCCATGAAAAGGAAAAAAAACTATTAAATAAAGTAAGTTTAATAAGATCTTATTTACATGGATCATAAAATAGATAGCATTAACTTGAGTTGTTTAATTTTATATTAACTTAATGACGTGTTGGCGATATGCCAACGTAAACTTTCCAGACTTCCTTGCAACAATTTTGTGTTCATCAAATAAATCCGACACTTCGTAAGAAAAGGAGAAATCTTCAGTATTTTAAATGAGTTGTCATTTGAAGCATCTTATATAGGTACTAGTTTTGGCCCGCGACTCCGACCATATGGAATTAAAAAATAACGAAAATAATAGCTTATGTGTTTTTCCCTGAATTCTACATATATGACAAATTTCATCCGTTCAGTAGTTTAGGTTACAAACTCTATCAAACATCCATCCATTAATCCCTGTTAAATTTCGAATTTATAATATTAGTAAGATAGACACTCAAATCGTTTAATAACGTGATTTTGTAGTTTCAGTCCATTTTAGAGTACAACTGTTAAAACACAATCAATCCAAGCTATATTAAAATTTTTCAAAGTTAGAATTCAATAAGTAGCAGCTCTGAAAAACAAACTCCTAATTAACTTTACCTCCTATAAATACTAGATTATTTGGATTTCAAATAGAAGATTTTTCATTTGTAATAAGATCAGGTAATCATAAACTAATAAAAAATATAACCTACCATTCTCAGGTTTTTTGTAACGTTTTGTGTACCGTGCACTGGTGCTGTTATCTCTAAACGAACTACCAGCGTGGTGAAACATTTACACTATTACACTATTACACTATTAATTACACTACACAAATTAATCTTACACTTTAACACTAAACGGTTTTCTTTATTTCGATTTAAAAAATCGCGATCATTCCTATCCAACGTTTGTGTCAAATCTGAAAATTTTCGTAGCGATTTTCGAGCTCGGCCTAGATGCGTTATTTTTGTGTTAGCTTGGCCACTGCTTTTACAGATTAATATTAATATTTCACTATGTGGATTGGAATACTTGTGTAACGTTTTAAAAATAAATTATACGATTTACGATTCACTAACATCGGATGTTTATTCGATAATAAGTTTATTGCTCTCGATTTTGTTTGAATATGTGATATGAGTAATATTTTGTTGATATAAATGTAAATTCAAAAGTAACGTAACTTACGTGATGTACAATATTCTTTTCTTAACTAAAAAATCAAAGAAAATTCCTACCTACGTACTAAAGTCACAGACGCTCAGTTTTAATTGAAGAACTGTTTAATTAAAAATATACGTATGTATACTAACAGTTAAAATTTTCCCTACAAACATACAGTATTAACTGATAAGTTCGACTGTTCACTGAATGTAGCGGACTTTACAATGTAAGAAATAATCTTAGTCAAATGTAAAATTGTCTCATTCACCACATCAACAATTTTCTTCATAAATATTTAACATGTATTATTTTACGATCACAAATCTAATTTCATGTGACCTTTAAATTTGTTATCATAATCCAATCGCAATAACTTCAAAGCTCCGTCGTTATATCATTTTAATACTCAGTTGACGTTTTCAATTATTGGATCGTATATCATTTGAGAGCCGAATTGATTACACAATACGCATATCATTGATATACGCAAATAGACAGGAGACTCGATTAATAAATAAATCTCAATAATTCTCTAAATTAATCTCTAATTTTTTATTCATTTTGAGATTTATATATTGAGAAGTAGAAGTAAAACATCAACAGTCTCGATGTATAAAATAAAAGCTAAGGGCCTGTTCCACCATTGGCTGATAGAGGCTCAGATAGATTAAAAATGACGTCACCCTCAGATAAAAAAACAAAATTCGATATTTCCATGATCAGATAATTTACAATTTGGTGGGATAGGCCCTTATAAATTTAATTTAAGTAATACACAAGTTAGTATTACAATTATCTATTTACTTTCATATACTCAATTACACATTGAAATAAAACGTATTTACAAAGCACACTTCAGTAAAATATAATTTCAATTTTATTGTAGTTGTAATGCCCTATAGTGTCATTCAAAATTAAATTTTATTTCGTCGTATTCAAGAAACTTATTCAGAATCTAGAAACTGTCTTAAAGCTAAAATGTTATTTATGTAATTGTATAAATCTCAACAGAAACGAAACTAAGTTAGGTGATAGTATTCACTCAGAACTCAATTTGACGTCCAAGTGGTTGCCGACGAAACTTTGCATTTCATGTCTCTGGCTACGTTAGTGTGACTCTATCAAATTACTTACTATAATTAATTTACATTAATTAACTTATAGCATAAAAATCAAGTCATAAATATTATTATTTATAACGGAATTAACACAATATTGAAGTCGATAAGAATAAGGAAGTCAACAAAATACTCTGAAAGTACTTCAATGAATGGTAAGATTTTTTTTCTTTAATAATTTCGGAGATTACCCGGAACAAACGCGTCTTGCGGCCAAACAGACAGAAAGACAAAAAAAATTAAATGTGATTATCGTTACTAGCAACGCAAATGTATCATCTTCCCAAAATCTGAAATTCTTCTTTTGATGTAACAAACAGATACTCAAATTTTATTATATGTATAGACAATCTCAAATATTTTATTCTCTAAAATAAATTTCGGTTTTTATATTAAAGTACAAATGCTAACTTATCTAAACAACGCAACTTTTCTTACCTTGAATTGAGGTATTTATTAAATACAGTAATTTTTCTGGACAAAGAAAGCCGACTCTCTCGTAAAAAGATAACAGTGTTATTACAATGAAAGAAATTTTGCTTGAGGTTACAAAGATAGACATTCTGCTTAGAAGCTTTTTTTTTTCAAAAGATAGAGATTAAAATTAAACTTTTCACTCTGTTTTGATACATTTTTTTCAGTGAATAGTAATAATTTATTTTAAGCAACTTGCCGTATGTCTTCGCTTCTCAACATTCACATTAACATTTAGTAATTAAAACAATAAAGGGGTTTTTAAGAGTATGTATTTCTTTAAAAGTAATAAACCATATTCCATGTTGCATGTTGGTATAAACTCAAACACTACATAATCGATTTAAAAAAAAAAACAATCAATATAAAACTTCTGTGTCATCGAGTAAACGGGTAAATTTGTATATATTTTCGCGCTGAAAGGCTAATTCAATCCAGGGTAAATTTAGTTCCACTACTATTATAGATTAAGACAATTTTGTAAAGTAAGAGAGAATGGAGGTGATAATAAGATGATAAGTTTTAATTTAATTACGTGTGCAAATCCTCGGGCG